AAATCTTCTCCTTCAGGGTCATTATCGTCCAAAGGACCAAGCTTGTCCGGGGAGTCCTTAAACATGTCATTTACCTCGTCGATACCTTCATCAGAGATGAAATTTCCATTAATGTTCAGAAGCTTGAAAGTAAGTTTCTTCACAACAGTTTGTGCCAAGGCTCTTGCCCCAGCTCTTCTGATCATGTTGGTGCTCAGGTCAACTTCAGCCAACTGGTCATGACCTTCAACTGCCTTTGCGATTAAGATAGACCCTTCGTCTTTGAGTTCATTCTCAGATAAATTCAGCTTCTTAAGAGACTGTTTCGAGTTGATGCAAGCTGCCAATTTCTCAGTGGATTTTACAGTAATATCGTTCCCAGCCAATTCTAGAACTTCAAGAGACGGGGCAGACTTCATTAGAGCTTCAGAAAGTGCCTCAGTTCCCTCATCCTCCAAGTTCAGGTAACTCATATAGATCTCAGTTAAATCATTCAACACAGATAAAGTCTTGGCCAGGGCGAGTCCACCTTCGACTCCAAACATGTTGTCACGAAGATCAAGTTTCTTCAAGTGGCTACAGATTTCAAGTGCTTCAGCAAGCGCAACACCGCCTTCTGAACCAATCCTTGTAGACGAACACCGGAAATCTTCCAAAGATGGACACTTCCTCACTATCTCTGCAATGGAAATTGCCCCTTCATCTCCTGTCATGTTGTTATGAAGCTGAAGAATCCTGATTTTTTCTGTCGAAGGAAGTAGCTCACGAACTGCTCGTGCAGCATCCTCGGAAATGCCATCATTCATCAGATATAGCTCCTCTAAGTCATTCTGAGACTTGATGAGAGAACCAAATGCTCGAATTCCTTTTTCTCCCAAAGCATTGTCCGAAAGATTCAAATACCTTAGCTTAGAACCCTCCAAAGCAGAAGAAAACATATTCATCACTTCAAGTGCTTCTGCCTCTGGTCTTCCTGCAACAAAATCCGAGAGATCCACTTCCGTAAGCTGATCTTTGATGGAAGACAAAACGGTCACAGCAAATTTGGCAGCTTCCAAGCCAAAACTTCTGTTGCTAAAACGGATTTTGGTATAGGAGTTATTAGGCTCGGTCAACGGCCTCAAGAGCTCACGTGCCTCCTCTTCATCGATAAAAGCTCTTCGCCCACCAGATAGATCAAACAAGACATCCCCAGTCTTCTTCACGTCCACCTCTGATTGGACCTGTGGACCTCGTTTGATCACTTCAAGCATAAGCTTACTCGATTCTTTTGCATAGACCTGAACAGCAGAAGTTCCATCACCATCAGGCTCGTTCTGGAAATGCTTGTTTGCAGTTGTAAAAGCCAACTCTTCAATTCGCTTGGCATCTTCCTCAGCCTCTTCCACACTCAATAGACCGTACTTCCTGGAGAAGATGGATGGAGTCGTTATGTTCTTGGTCATCCTCTCAACAAGCATCAGCCTTGTACTCTTACTCGGTGGCCACATCTTCACCGACAAAACACGGTTTTGTGTGGTTTTAGTTGAATGATCCATGCCACTTGGTTCTGTAATTGAAGCAAAGGAATACATTAAACAATCTGATCTTAAAACATTTAAAAAAAAAAAAAAAGCAATACAATGGCCAAGGTAAACTAATGCAGCAGCCAAGAAAACAACACATGTATAACTTGCAACCATTCTATCTAAAGCTTCGTGTGAAGCACAAACTCTGAAGAGACCAAAGTAGTGTAGATCCAATCGAAAACGCAAAAAGCGTTGAGAACAGGAGAGAAATCTAATTACATCTCCATTGTAGACACAAAAGGGACTAATTTCAGAAGAAAGTTGCATTTTTAAACGAAAGTAAAAAACTCAAAATCTACCTTTGAAACTGCAAACGACAAGTGCAGATTTCAAAACAAATAAGAAATCTCGCTGTTGCGTGTATTAGCGAAACCCAGAAAACTAAACTTTCGACT